TCACAATTTGAGTTGAATTACTGAAATAAATGAACTTTTCCACGACATTCTAATTTATTGAGATGCACCTGTATTTCAGTTCCCGGTTTTACTGCTCATCAGTCGCTGCTCAATGTTGTGAGAACATACTCGGACAAAACCCTCCAGTTTTAAAAGAACACATTCCAGTCAGTTTCAAAAATCTCTCTCCTCTTCGTGTCGATTGGTTTTCTTGTGTTTTCTACAACATATTCCTGTCATGAGCGTCGCAAACACGGATAGACTCGTCTCATGCGCCATTCCAGCTGTTTCCAGTTCGCGCTCACCACATTCACTGCTGCAGTTTTAAAAGAACACACTCCAGTTTCAAAGTTGTCCCTTATCTGCGCTTCGATTAGTTTTCTCCCATTTTCTACACATGTTCCCGTCTTAAGCACCGCAGTCATAGATTTCGTCGCACACAGAACCGTTCACGTTTGAACTCACGTGACTTGCTGCATGCTCTCATTCATGTCCTCCACATTCATAACCCAGCAACGTCGGGTTACTTATTACTGATACCAACCCAAATTGGGTCAAATCAAACCAGCTTCCTAACCCAACAGTCTCAACCGAGCGTTTGGATTGAAACAATTACCAGCGTGTTTTATATGTGTAGGCTATAAAAAAGTACACAGTGTATGTTTTTGCTTAACCGCTTGCAAATATAAGAGGTCATACATACCCTGTAATATTAGAATAGGTACCCCTTAGTTTCAAAATACTTACAGTAGAAATAATTTGTAATTTTACAGATTATTACTCCTTTATTCTCCAAACTTCGCATATTGTTACCTTATACCTACACGGAGGTACTGAATAGGTACACTGTAATTACAAAAAAGTTACGCTGTAAATTCTGTTTACTTACGCAGTATATTGCGGGTTGTAATCTAAAGCGTTACCCTGGTTTACACAAATAAGCACAATATAGATTATTTTGCAATATAGATTTTGACATTTAAAATATAATTAAAAAAACATTGTTGGCATAATTTGGAAAACTATTTTTCTTGTCTTCTCTTCATGACAATCTGTTTATTTATACACAGAGAGCAACAAACAGCTAACGCCATATGATTTGAGTTGCTAATCATACAGCCTTGAAATCATACAGACAGTTAGTACATGTTGTGACTGGACGACGTTAGGCTAAACACGTTGCCTGTAAGTCTGCTTATGAGTTAAATATCCTCAAACTATATTTTTAAATTCCTGACAGCTCAAATTACATTTACAAACTAATTTTAGCCTTTAGCTGACACATTACATGTTCACAGCAGACTAATTCAGCAAACGGTGGACTCATTCATTTGCCCCACTGAAAGACTTCATTGCATATTTCAACGTCTCATGAAAGAAGGAAACCATGCTAAAACCCATCTTTCCACCAAGCCTGCTAATCCGAGCATTATCCTCCTGTTATTTCTCCAGAAATGAATGAAGCAAGTCTGCATTCAAGTCATTTCTTTCTAATCTGAAGGGTTTAACATGTAAAAAGGCTCCATGTGATCAGAAATTTCTTTAAAAACACTCTGGATCAGCTTTGAGATACAAGCCAGAAGTCTTAGCTGATTTTGCTTTTTCAGTACCATAATCACTCAACCCAACATATTGTTCACCTAGCGTAAGGAATAGTCTTGAAATCTCTGAGGGGACAAAAACACAATGTTTTTGGCCAGGCAGGCAGAAGAGGCTGTAATTACACCTGGCTGAGCTGAACATAGCACATCACTGCAGCTCCTCTATCGCTGTCTGTCATAAACCTCTCTGTAATGACACAATTTAGATGTTTCCTGCCATCACCATCTGACAGGCAGCATTTGCTGACCGCTTAGCTTTAAGGGGAGCAAATCTCTCAGAAAACTCTTATCCTAGGCCACAAACAAGAAGAACGCTACTAAAAATAATCTCTAGTAGTGATGAGAACAGCGTTTATGAATTAAAGGGATAGTTCACCAAAAAATGAAAATTTGATGTTTATCTGCTTACCCCCAGGGCATCCAAGATGTAGGTGACTTTGTTTCTTCAGTAGAACACAAACGAAGATTTTTAAGTTAAACCGTTGCAGTCTGTCAGTCTTATAATGAAGTGAATAGGAATCACGGCTTTGAGAGTCAAAAAAACATACACAAACCAAACCAAATTAAACCCTGTGGCTCGTGATGATACATTGATGTGTAAAGACACGAAACGATCGGTCTGTGCAAGAAACTGAACAGTATTTATATAGATTTTTACCTCTGATGCACTGCAATGTCTGAACAGTCCTGAGCGCGTCCTCGACAGCCGACGCGTCTTCTTCTTCTTGCTTTACGGCGGATCGCAGACTTATAAGTGCATTAACGCCACCTATCTCTCAAATGGACCATTGACACTCCTAATTGAGATTGTAGATAGAGTGGCAATGGAGACCATTGACTGCCATTCTAATAAGACTGATAGACTGCAACGGTTTGAGTTAAACATCTTCATTTGTGTTTTACTGAAGAAACAAAGTCACCTACATCTTGGACGCCCTGGGGGTAAGCAGATAAACATCAAATTTTCATTTTTTGGTGAACTATCCCTTTAACTCAAGACATGCATTGGACTGATGAAGTGGGAGGTCTATTTTAAGCACTCAGAATCACTCCATTGTCTGTTTTACGACTCTTGGCTTCTTCTCAATCTGCGTAGCTCCA